ATCTGTGAAGTGGCCATTCTGCCATTTTACTGTACAAGTGGGAGCTGTTGGAAAGAACAGGGTGCACTCTGGGATATAGTAGCGGCTGTGCAGTCTCGCTGAGCTGTAGTGAATGGATTGTGATGGCAACAAGCCAAGATGTTCATAGCTAAATGGAGAGAGAACAACAGTTTGAGAGGGAATGAAACTGAGACAGATAAATGAGACAAAGACGGTGAAATGAAATAGTGATGCAAACTATTGACCATAAATGATACACTGCCCTTTTGACACCACGCTTGAATTTTGTATGCCTTTTTAATTGCAACAGCAAGATACTGTCATTTGGATAATGTGACATAAAGTTAGATGTGTCACTACAATAAACAGAGAAATTGCTAGGCTAAAGGCTGATTTGTAATCCTGTTAAGAATCAGATGCACAAAGAAGAAAAAAGAGAAACGAGAGACACACTGACAAAGACTATCATTCAGTGAGAGAAAAGAAATAAAAGCCAGAGGAAATGGAGACGTTAGAAGGGCAGTCCACAGTATTTATCCCATTGGTCCATTTCTGTTAATGGATCACCTATTCACAAAATGTTTGGAAGAACAGAAGGAGAAAGCAGGAAAGCAGCAGGGGGAGGAGAGTGACCCAACACTCCGAATATTTCACTCAGCCCAGCTCACTGTCAACAGAGACTGGACACCCAATGACCCTGAGGCCACAGCTCAGGTTTCCACAGCTTCTAAATTCAAGCTACACAATACCCACGGCTGTTCAGGAACTCAGAGATACCAACAAAGAGACTGGAATGAAAATGAACAAAATAATGCTGCGTGTATAATGCTGCCCATATCCAAACATCTGTTATATTACACTTGTCTTTATGGAATAGTAACAAAGCCTAAGCTCTATGTACAGGTCTTTGCTTTGGTGTTAAGCCAATAAACAATAACTGTCAAGAAATTTTTAATTACATGATTATAAATAAATATGCATTGTAACATTCATTCATTCATTCTTTTACTTGTAAGATGTGATCAGGCTTAATGTAAACAGATTTTCTGATTTTGTCCAGCCATCCATTCATTTTCTTTTGCTTATCTGGGGCTGAGTATCAGGGGCAGGAGCCTATGCAAGAATCCCCAGGCTTCTCTCTCCCAGCCGCCTCCTCCAGCTTATACAGCGGAACACAGAGGCAATCCCAGGCCAGTAAGAGATATAATCTCTCCAGCGTGTCCTCGGTTTTCATCTGGAGGGACATCCCCAAAACACCTCACATAGGAGGCCTCTTTGCCAGATGCCCAAACTGGCTCATTTCCATGTGGGGGAGTAGTGGCTCTATGCTGAGCCCCTCTCACTTGGCTGAACTCCTCACCCTATGTCTAAAGGCCAGACAGCCTTCGGAGAAAGCCCATTTCCACCACTTGTATCTGCAAGTGGTGACATCTAGGGATGTAGATGAATGAATGAAATAAACAACAGGTGAACTAGAGGCGTACCTCAAAAACAGGAATGGTTTTATA